TATACGCTTTTCATTTCAATATCTTAAAGATGTGTTCAAAAACCCTTTTGTAAACTTTTTAAGAATAAAAAAGTTAGAAAAATATTTAAACATTTCTGTGTCATAGCTTCTTTTCATAAATCCATTAACTCGAATTTCTGCACCATCACCTTCATGTTAATATTTAATTTGTTTGATTTTTTGCATTCTTTCTAACATTTTACCTGTATTAAGCGCTACACTAGACGAGATGGAAGATTAGTGTTATGGAATGATGGGTATGAGACCCTCGGATTTCTTTACCTGGTCTACTGTTGGTAAAACCTGGTCTGCGACTTAGGCAAATAAGATAGTTCTTGTATACTTTGTTTAATTCATGTGTTTCAGTGCAAAATCATTAAGCACGCTTGAGAAAACTTTGATAGTTTTCTTCTTATTTTAAGAATACAAAGGGAATGAATTTTACTTAATCATCTCAAAAAGTATGCAAAAAGAGTTAGGAGTGAATTTCATGTATTAATTTGATAATGTGGATATGAGAAAATGTATAAGAAATATATAAAATATATACGAAATATCTGAAATATAAATCCTGATATATATAATAAATTAAAGTCTAACTATCCGGGTATATCAGTAAAGGATTTCAGATTGCAAAAATAAGAGTATTTTCCCTACAAATCCCTTTAAACTGAGGTACAGGGGTTGGACAAAAATATGGAAACACCTTTAAAAAAACATGTTTCTTTGCTTAATATGTTGTAGGAAAACCGTTGGTATCCAAAACAGCTTGCAGTCTTCTCGGAATGGATAAATACAGTTCCTGTATGTTTGCCAAGGGAATATTATACCATTCTTCCTGCAAAACGGTGGCAAGTTCAGATAACAATGTTGGCGGTGGATAACGAGAACACACTTTCCGTTCCAATGTAGACCACAAAGGTTCGATAATATTCAGGTCTGGTGACTGTGGTAGCCAGGGGAGATGGGACAACTCATCCTCGTGCTCAGAAAACCAGTCCTGGACAATGTGAGCTGTGTGAACAGGGTCTTTGTCGTCTTGGAAGACACCATCATCATCGGGAAACAAAGTTTGTACCATGGGATGAACTTGATCGGCCAAAATGTTCACATAAGTCTTGGCAGTCATGTGCTCTGACACAGTTATCATGGGGCTAGCAGAGAACCACGATATGGCTGCCCCAACCATAACAGAACCCCCGCCATGTTTCACTCTTGGCAAGAAGCAGTCTGTATTATAGGCTTGAGATGGCGTTCTCTAGACTTAAACTCGGCCAGAAGTGGGAAACAATGTAAAAGAAGACTCGTCAGACCATATTACTCGCTTCCACTGCTCTATAGTCCAGGCTTTATGACTTAAACACCACCTTTTCCTGTTACGGGCATTAGCATCACTGATGAGTGGCTTTTCAATTAATTGCAGCACGGCCAGCAATTCCCTGTTTATGAAGCTCCCTTCTAATTGTACTCACAGTGTTCGGTAACACAACATTCATTTCAGCAGTAACTTTTGCTGCTGTGGTCTTCTTATTTTTTGTCACAATTGCCCTTAATGATCATCTGTCACGATCACTCAGGACACACTTTTGTCCGCGCTGTGATTTAGCAGATGATGTTTTTCCGCTTTTCAAATATGCGGAATAAATCTTCGATACAGTACCTCTTGAAGCACTAAACACCTCGGCTACCTTGCTTACAGAAGCACTTACCATACGTGCTCCAACAATTTGCCCACGTTCGAAGTCTGTTAACTCTGACATAATGCAATGACAATCTCACATAACAGTACTCCGACAACAACTGAACTGTTTAGCACATTTACGAAGCTGTATAGGTGGCGTCAGTAGTCAAAAATGCCAGCGCCACCTACATATTTCATTAAAATCAATCTTTCTTTTCAAACATGCATTTCACAAGGTGTTTCCATATTTTTGTCCATCCACTGTACTTTAAAAGAAACGTACCTCAGTAAAAGAAAGAAGCTTCCATTAAGAAGAAAAAAAATACAGATTTACATCAATAGACTGAATATCAAAAATAAGACGTGAAAGACTTAACTATAAAACCTGATTCATTTCTAAATGTTTTCGAGACTTATCTCCATAAAAAATATCGGATTAATTCATAAATACATAATTAATGCATAAAATTTTTCTTTTGTTTTCCATTCCTTTTGAGCAGGATCTAAGGATTTAACTCTCCCCCCGCCAACTTATAAACGTAAGTAATTGAGGTAATGTTTTCGGTACAAAACTTCATTGGTAGTTTCCAGTAAATCAGCATGAATTAGGGTCTCCAAAACACGTTCAACTATTTCCAAAATGATATCTTTCTGTGTGTGACGAGTGTTTCGTAGACAAGTTATAAGATAATTCAAAACTTCTAAAAATTTGATATAAAATATAGGTGTGTAACTGGGAGCATCATATTGCATTTATAAGTATTAAATGTATCCTTGAAATTACGCTAAATGCAACGAGAATAACCTCATTATATAAAACAAGCTCTCGTTAAGAAGCAGTTGAATGTATCAGACCTGAATCCTAAATTTTGCTTTTGTTTCACTTTTATGACGAATCATTTTTCAAATAAAATAACTAAAAAAATAATATAGCAAATACAAATAATATAATGAATACGAAAAGAAATTTATAACAGCATTTGGCGACAATATGCAGTAGAACTCCAGTTATTCGAATCAAATGGTACGGGACCCCAATCGGATAATCAAAAATTCGGATAATTGGATTTTTCCAGAAGAAAGGTTCGATGTACACTTTAATTAATTACTGCACGTTGAAAATAGGAGAAAAAACCCTTTTTAAAGAAAAAAATTCTTTAGGTTTTTAATTAATTAAAAGGCAACACTTTTACGTACGTATTGTACAGTACTTACAAGTTCTGAAAGACATTGCTTGCTGAATATCTCGGTCAAAATAAGCTGTTTGACTGTCTTCATCCGTTTCCAGGCAGCCAAGTCGCGCATTCGCTTGACAGTGAGAAATTGCAAGTGGTCACACTCGGGTTGCCTCTCCATCCACTTCCACGCAGTTTCAAGGCCGGCAAAGGCTTCATTAGCTGATAGTCCCGCGTCTGCTTTAATTTTGACATTAAGGTCATTTTCTTCCTCGACAGTTTCTTCTCTCACACTTTCAATAAGTTCATCATCATTTAGAGTTTGAAACCCAGGGTCTGACGAATCACAGACCATCTATTCTGCTGTATCACCAGCATTAACTTCTGAGCATCCAGGAATTCTGAAAAGAATGTTTCTTAATTCCTCAAGTGACGCGTCGTCCTCATCTTCTCCTGTCTCTTCCCTTTCCTTTCCTTTTCTTCAGCATCTGTTTCCCCTTTTCCTCCTCTTCTTCAGTTGATGTGCCTTTCAACTTGTTGCATGTAGGTTTTAATGTGACTGACTGAACCAAGCTCCAAGTTTCCGCCATCGTGTAAGCGCAGTCTTTCAAATTAATTTTTTTGTGGTTGACCAACATACCTTCTTTGTCTTCGCTCTCTACAAAAAGTTTCCTTCTGTAATTGCGTTTCATGGTTTCGATAACAGACTGGTCCATTGGTTGCAACAAGCTTGTGATGTTTAAAAAGATTGTTGTAAACTGGCTATTCCCTCTTTCCAAACATTCTCCGGTAGGGTGAGCTGGTGCATTATCAACAATCAAAAGCACTTTACTACCTTCTTTTCAAGAGATTTTTGCTGCTTTTTCACTTTAGGGATGAAACTTTAGTCGTACCACTCGGTAAACAATGCTGCAGTCATAAGAGCCTTGGGTTGGTTTTTATAAAAGAGGGGAAGCTTTTCCCCAGAGCTGTTCGACTTCCCTATCAACAGAAGAGGTATTTAATGGCTTCTCGATGAGTTCGCACAGGGAAACACCGTAATACGATTTTTACTATCTTTATGTGCTGGGACACTACACTCACTTTTAGATGCTAAAGCAGTTTTAGACAGAGCTCTCCAAACAAGATCGGTCTCAGTTTCGTAGGAGGTTGTTACAATTTAGAATTTTTTTATTAAAATCTTTTGCAGCTTTGGAGTCTGCTGATAACTTCTCACGACTTAAATCTGATTCACGGCCACCGTGCCTACAACTAAAATTTCTTAACCATCCGTTGCTTGCTTTAAAGGATGAACAACCAAGCTTCTGAGCTAAGATCTTAGATTTTTCACAAAGAATCAGACCCGAAATTGTGTTTACCATAAAACGTTGCTGCAAAAACCACTTGAAAACAGCATCTGCTGGCTTTTTGTTTGTTGCTGCCTTCATTGATTTCCTTGAAGAACTTTCATCTTCGTTTTCAAGCAATGACACTAAGTTTAAAATTGTAGGTTTGCTTCTTTTAATGTTTGAAATCTTTGATTGTGCAATACAGTACATTTTAGCCAAATGTACCCATAACTTCTTTATATGACTTTTAATTTATAATTACTTTTAATTTATAACTTTTAATTTATTCGCCAACGATAACACAACACGTTTTCTTTTAGAAGCCGTGGTTAACGACGAAATGCACTCACAAACAAAACAACGCACTGATGAGAAAGAGTACCGTCACAGTATTGTAGCAGGTCAACGGCACACTGACTGACTAGAAATCAAAACGAACAGTAACAAAGTGAGTCGTGTCGGCCACCGTGGCGACGGACGACAGTACTGTAATCAGTAACACTATGAGATGGTGATTAAAGAATATGTATAAATGACATCTTTGCACTTTGTGCGACATATGTACAAATGATATATTACCTAATTAAAATTTGCGTACAAGAGCTAAGCAGTTACAACTGCTGCCTTCAACCATATTTTAAAAAAAAATACAAGCTTGAAAGTTATTAGAAACCTCTTAAAATAGTGAAATCTTGAATTCATATTTTGTTCCAAATCTTATTTTGTTCTTAGCTAGTTGGGAACGGCCACACAATTAAACACCAGTCAAAGAAACTAGATCATAGAATTACATGAAAAATGTGGTCACTATTTAAATTCATTTTTCATAAATTCTCAAGTCTAAAAACCAAAACAATAATAAACAATTAACAAATTATCAAATTTCATTATTCATAGCTTACTTAAAGCTCTCTGCTATGCCACCAATTCTATAAAAATATTCATTGCTTTTAATTAGATAAATCACATATTAAATGCATTTTCATTTAAAGCAAACAAATTTCGAGTAACCTAGTGGTGACCGAGTTCGTCACCACTAAGATTTGGCGATTGATTCTCTTAGTCCCCAGACTGACCTTTGAAAGGAAAACGTTTTAAGATAATTTTCTACCTTCTTTCGGCATGCCTTCGTGGTGTAACTGGAAGCATACTGGATGCGTATTCGATATTGGATGCCAGGGTTCGAGTCTTGGCGAAGGCACGGCAACATCTCTAAAATAAAAATAAAAAAAAAAAAAAAACTATTGACTCTACAGCTTAAACGCATGAAATAAAAATGAAGCAAGATTACATACAATTACATTAAAAAATGTACATATATAATAAGTTTTCAAAAACAAAGTACACAGTAATGTACAGATAAAAAACCAATATGCAATAAAATGTAAATAAATCGAGACAAACATTTAAATAAGTTTACAACAATATTTGTTTTTCATCGGAGAACGGAAATTCTAAGGAATGGCTAAAATTTCATATTCCTGTTAAAATGTTAGCTCTAATTAGTTTAGCTATTAGCTTCTAATCGGTTACAACAGAGTAAATAAATGATGTTGTTTATGTGAGTATCGTTTGCTTCATTTTATTGTTGCCAACAGCGTAAATTTCTTTTGTTTTTCTTCCTTTAGGTTTGAATTTAATGTGTGGCAACAAGATAATTGATTGATAGAATTGTGTTTGCCATGTAAAATGGCTCGCTTATTTTGTATCAATTATTTCGCATCGCTGACATCTTATTTATAATTAGTGTAATGAAATAAAAGTGAAGGAATACAGTCCATGTGTTCCTTCACTTATTAATTATTTGTTGTTGTTTGTGAAACAATAAGATCAGATGTTGTATTTTGTTTGAAGACTGATTGTTATCTATAACCGTATACGAATTTCCTGGTAAACTGATCATTCCTGTTTTTTTTTATTACAGCATACTTCTCAGAAGCAGAAGGTCCAATAGTTGGCCTTGCAGCAGAATCTGTTGCTGGTAGAGTGATTGGCTGAGAAGGGATTTGGAGAAAATGTTGGATTTAGTGTATTAATTTTACCTCATCAAATCCCTTACAATGTTTAAATTATTTTTTACTGTAAAAATTCGTTATCCGTGTAAAATATTTATTATCACATCTGAGCTGCAGTTGTTTTTAATTTTGTAAACTTTTATCATAATAAATGTGCAGTACTGAAGTTTAAAATCTGTACTGTTTATATTCTTGTACTTGTCTTGCATTGTATCAAGGTAATGCTCCATGATTATTATCCATTTAAAACTGCAGGATTGTATTTTAACATGAATGTACAGAAGCATCATTGATCTCTGCAGCAAATATTAGGGTCAAAGGAAGCACAGTTTAAAAAAATGAAGATAGTTAGACTATTGTAAAAGATGTCACAGACAATCCTTTCCTCTTCTGAAAATGAAAACAGAATAGCATTAATTTTTCAATAGACATCAAGTAAAAATCAAACATTCAGAGGTGATAATGTTAGTTCTAAAATTTTAATAAGTATGTTCACATGATCATGTATAGCTGGGTTATAATAATAATTATTAGGTGTAATCTCCTTTCACAAATCAACATGGCTTTATTGAAAAATATTCTAATTAAAAAATGGCGCAACATTTCATAAAATACCTTTCTATGTACTGAAATGATTTAGGTGACATTAATCGAATTATTAAATTTAAGTCAAAATATAAAGTACTATTTCAGCCCGTTGTTTCTCTAAAATCTTCAACAAACATTTGCTTAACTAATTAGCATCAGCGTTCTTTTATTTTGTAATTTCATGGTAATTAGTTTTGCTGTTCATGAGAATGAAGGAAAAATGTTGATTACAACCCGAGGAGAAAGAATTATAAGGAAAATGGGCAAGAATTATAGTTTAAAAGAGGATATAACGTATTTACAGACATGTTTTGTGCATCTTTTAGCAAGATGCAAATTTTAACTCTTTCTAAATTCAGTCTGTAATTTTAGAAATTATCCCATTTTCGTTTGAAGGATTCGAAAAAGTAAAAAAATACATAGCAAATAAAGTTAAAAACATATCAAGTTTTGTAATTGCTGGCTGTACATTTAATATTTGCATTTATTCTTTTTTCTTTTGCCTTATTTATTTTCTAACTGTTTAATTTTATGTTATTGTTACGAAATGTAAAGGCGCGGTGAGATAGCTTCCCCGCAAAGCAGTTTTAGGGTTGCCATAAAATCCAAGGAGGGAAGGGTTGCCACATTTAGTGGCAACCCAAATGTGGCGACAAAATTGGCGATATACCATGGACGGTTGGAGAACCTTCTGGAAGTTCTTACCGGTTTAGTCCAGAATGTTCCCGAACACAAGCCGAAAGATATATAAGCCGTGCTGGTCTGCAGTCAGGAACTCTGAACTTGGGTGGGTGACCACCCACGTGACAGGCTCTTGCCAATCATCTCCCTCCACTCCACCTACATTTCACAAAATTTGACAAGTTTCGCCTAGTTGGCGCGGCATAAATCGCCTTAATTAAAAACTTAAGTACCAACGCCTTAGGGCAATTTACCAACAGAGACGGTTAAAGTAGCGGTTGGCTACTAATTGCCGCCTAGCCATTGACTCGATTTCGATTTCAGTCAGGAAGTGTGCTTCATCGAGAGGAAGTGTGCGTCTCTTATGGAGTGAGTGTGTCTCGTCTAGCGAGTCAATCCGTGCGGAGGCGATCGAGTTGACAGCCGGGTAGCGAGTGCCGAGTGGGTCATCGAGTGCACCGAAAGAGTCTCGTAGAGTATCGCGGTTAGTGCATCATCGAGAGAGCGTGTTGAGCTCCGGAAACGACTGAACCGAAAGTCGGGAGCGTGCTCTGTGTGTCGTCGAGTGCATGGCGGAGTACGTGGAGTTCCGAGAACGACCAAGCAGAGCCGGGAGCTGTACTCCGGAAAGCAGAGTCGGGTGCTTTGCAGGAAGCTATCTCCACCGTTATTGCCTGATAGTGTGAAGGCTGTGTCGCTGATTGTTTTAGCGTGTTTATAGTAGATCTTCGACGACTGTAAAAAGTGTTATTAGAGCTGTCCTGATTAACATTGGCCAAATAAAGTGTGTTTCGATACTTCATCAAGTGTCGTCGTTATTTACTCCAAATCTACGAACCCCGTACGAACGTGAAGGAAGAAAATAACGCAACAACTCATGTCAGAAGAATAGAAATTACGTAACATTATGATTTTTACAATAATCTTGTTACTGGCAACATGCTTTATTTTACTATCGAGTTTGTGTGAATGGCAACGGTTGTTTATGTTTATGTATCAGTAGAATAGCGTTCTTAGCCGCACTGTGCTGCAAGCAATTTTTCTCTTAAATATTTCATGTTTTAGAATATCAATAAAGTTTTTATACAAAGCTGATGCTTTTTAGTTCAAGGCAACTATTTGGTTCCCCAGGTGAGGCATTTAATGATATTTAATATGTTATAATTATATGCTTTAGATAATGTATTTAACGAACTTTTAAGTACTGGTACTGCGAATCGTCTGCGTGACGTTAGAAAGATAAGTGGAAATATTTTTTGCTGCTTAAGTATCTTGTTGAAGTTATTTGTGCTTATTAATCATTATTCATGGTAATAATGACAGAATTAAGTGAAGCTGATCTTATAAGATTAAGAGGACGAACGAAATCTTTCTTAACGCGGCTTCACTAATCAGTTAAGTCAAACGGAATTAAAAGCGCGATTAGAAAGAATTTAACAAATATTTAAAGAATTTGATCAATATGATGCTGCTTTACCGAAGAAGCTTCTGAAATTGCTGAATTCGAAGCTAAATATTTTGAAACGAAAGTAATGTATCAATGAATCGTCAACGGCCAGAAATGTTTTGATTTCAAATCCCACTGCAGTTGAGGCTAGTTTTAAACTTCCGCGTTTAAACATTCCGAGTTTCAATGGTAAATATACTGATTGGCTTAATTTTAAAGATCTGTACATGGCGACAGTTCATACCAATCAGTCATTAGCGAAAATTCAGAAATTCCAATATTTGATAGGACTTTTAAAGACGAACCAGCTGCTATTATTAAGCACATTCCGATTTCCGAAACTATCATACAATGAGGCTTGGGACTAAATTGATTGTCACAAAAAATGGTCACAAAAAAATGGTGAAGAAGAATTTCCTACCTTAGACCTTAGAATGTTTTTTGGAATTCTTAAACTCAAGATGTGTTTCACTTGAAATGTTAAACACTCATAATAATGAAAAGCGAGTATCGCATAAAAATCAGTGCTCTGTTTCGAAGAATGTTTCACATAATAATAAAAATTCTGTTCTAAAATGTCAGCATTGCAATGGTTCTCATTTTTTATCAAAGTGTTATAAATTTAAAGGTGCAGATATTACGACTAGGAAAAATATCATTCGCAAGAATTTATTATGCTTCAATTGTTTTAGTAAAATTTATTATCGGAAGCATTATTATGCTTCAATTGTTTTCGGAAATCATCAATTAAAATTTTGTTCATCGCAGAATGTGTGTTCTATTTGCAAAGCAAAACACCCATACTTTACTGCATGAAGATATTAAAAGTGTTAACGTAGTTGTGTCAAATTCATCTCCATCTGATGAACAAATTTCTAATTCAGACGAACAAAATAATATTTCGAGTTTTTCTATTCAGGGTCAGAGTACTTCATTTTTACCAACGGCGGCAGTAATAATTTACGATTCTGCTGGTCAAGGTCACGAATGTATCATTCTTTTTGACAGTGGAAGCTTCTTTTATCAGTGAATCATTTATTCGACAATTAAATATACGCAGACAAAATGCCCGTATTTGCGTAAAGGGACTTGGTGATTCTGAAGCAGCTTTGACTCGTGGTTATGTAAATGTAAAATTGTTTCCCAAATCTGAGTTGGAAAAAAATGGTTGTTTTAATACAAGCATATATTCTTAAAAAATTAACTTCGCATTTGCCTTCAGTAAAGATTGATAGCAAGGACCTTGATTATTTGAATTCAATTAATCTTGCAGATCCAAATTTCAGTACGCCCAAACAAATAGACATGATAATTGGAGCTGACTATTTCTTTTCTCTGCTTCAGCCAGGGCAGATTTTTGGCTATAAAAATGTAATTGCGCAAAATACTATTTTTGGTTGGGTTGTATCAGGCAGAATTAAAACAGAAGGCAATACTCCGCATCCCATTAGTGTTAATCGCATTAGTTTACATATTGAGGA